CTGACGCCATCTTAGCGACCGGAGAAAATGTATCGCTATAATCAAGGCCAAAGATTTGAGTAAAACCCTTGGCAACTAAACGTGCCTTGAGACGATCAATATGGCCATCAGGTCCAACTTTCACAGTAAAAACCCAGCGACAACCAACTATAGACTTCTCTGGAGGAGCAGAACAAGGTCCCAAGTGCCATTGGAATGAAGTGCAGTCATCTCATCAAGCATTGCTTGACGCCACCCTGGATGGGAAAGTGCTTCACCTGTGGTCTTAGGAATAGAAATAGAAGAAAGACTAGAAACAAAGGTGAAATGAGGTGAAGAAAGACGGTCATAACTCAAAAAGGTATAAAGAGGATAAGGGTTACGAGTAGTACGTGTACCTTTTCTTTGAGCAATGGGAAGAGTCTCTGATGAAGGATCCGGAGGGGAAGAAGCAACAGCAGTGGGCGATGAGTCAGCAAGAGTCGAGTCGACAGGAGGCACAGTTTTGCGACGCTGATAGGTGAGAAGTGGACGGTCCTCAGGTATAGAAGCAATAGGTTGCTCATCTGGAATAGAAGCACCTGCAGCTGGCAAAGACAAGTCAAGAAAAGGGACAGGAAGGACATGATCAACCTGTGACATCTGAGATGGGATAGAATTAAAGGGTTGTTGATCAAGAAAAGTGACATCAGCGGAAACTAAGTAACGCTTAAGGTCGGGAGAATAACAACGATAACCCTTTTGAAGACGAGAATAACCAAGAAAGATACACTGAAAGGCTTTGGATGTTAACTTATCCTTACCAGGAGTGAGATCATGAACAAAACAAGTACAACCAAAGACATGTGGAGTTAGAGGATAAAGAGGAACATCTGGAAGCAATAGATTATGAGGAATGTCATTGTGGAGCACAGATGAAGGCATGCGATTGATGAGAAAACAAGAGATGAGTACAGCATCTGCCCAGAAGTGAAGGGGAACCTGCATATGAATAAGAAGGGTACGGGCAGTTTCAATGAGATGTCTGTTTTTACGTTCAGCCACCCCATTTTGTTGTGGAGTGTGAGGACAAGTAGTTTGATGTAAAGTACCTTGTGTGGCCAAGAATTTAGAAAAATCAATAGAAACATATTCCTTAGCATTATCACTACGTAGAATACGAATAGAAACACCAAATTGAGTATGGATCTCAGGAAAACTTTTTATAAATGGAAAATAGCTCGGAACGATTTTTCATTAAATAGGTCCAAGTGCAACGGGAAAAATCATCAATAAAGGTAACGAAATACCGAAAACCTAAGACAGACAAGGTACGACTTGGACCCCAAATATCTGAATGAACAAGAGAGAAAGGGGCATCAGCTCGTTTATTGACTCGACTGGCAAAAGAGGAGCGTGTATGCTTCCCTTGTTGACATGACACACAATCTAAAGACTGAAGACCGGACAAAAGAGGAACCATTTTCTGCAACTTTGAAAGACTTGGATGACCAAGGCGACTGTGGATAAGTTGTGGAGATTCTGTGAGAGAGCATGCTACTGAAGGACGAGGCACATCCAGATAATAAAGCCCTCGTGACTCACGACCCACTCCAATCATTTTCCCCGTACCCGGATCCTGCACAGAAACAGAATGGTTAGAGAAAGTAATGGTGCAAGTGAGGGAGTGCATCAACTTACTAATAGAAATTAAGTTATAAGGGATGCCAGGAATGTAATAGACAGATGTCAGGGCCAAGGTAGAGGTCGGACGAGCTTGTCCAATCCCACGAACTGGGGCTTTGGTTCCATTCGCAAGGGTAAAAGACGGTAAATGATCAGAATAAGTAAGAGATGTAAAGAGTTCCTTATTACCACAGAGATGATCGGTAGCACCGGAGTCAAATATCCAAGTGCCAAGTGATGTAGAATGAGAAACACAAGCAACAGGATTACCAGTATAAGGCTGAGACTGAGGAGAAGCCTTCCTGAGAGGGGTTTGGAGTGCAGCATAGTCTGAACCTGAACCAAATGATGCATTGTCTGACTGAGCTATATTTGCAACAATAGAAGGAGAGTTAACCTCCGAGAGATCAGGAGATGCTGCTGCCATTTAAAGATAAATTATAAAAGCCGTAAACGAAGGCAAACGATATCCAATCAAGAAGAACCACGCGTCTAAGGTCAGACCCACAGAGAAACAATCACAGATCCAGAAAGGGGAGGAGAAGGCGAGCTTCTCTGTCCAAGACCGGCCGGAAAAAGCCGCCGGAATAGTGATAACGCGCCGGCAGAAGGTGGCGCGTGAAGCCCACGCGCAGAGAAGACAGGTGGCGCGTGACGGCGCGTGGGAAATGCGTTGCTGACCGGACCACCACAGACCTGGTCGCCGGGAAGAGAGGGTCCTGATCGCGTGAAGTTTGGTCGGAAAAGTCGCCGGAAAAAGTCTCCGGTTGCCTGAACAGTGATTCTGACGGCGGGCGGTGGTTCCGGTGGCCGTCGGAGGTGCTGACACGTTTGGAAAAATCACTCAGAGGTTGTTTACAGCCCTAGAAGGCTTGCCGGAAGGACGCACGACAAGAAAGAGGACTCCTAAGCAGTGAGCTTAGGTTTTAAAGCAAAAAACAAGGTTTCTAAGCGGAAGCGAGGGTTCCCAGAACGAAAGAGCTCTGATACCAACTTGAATATAAAATAATAGAAGAATAATATGTTGTGTATTGATCTGTGTCAAGGAGTTACAATATATAGAGACCCTAATGGGCTTAAGTGTAAGGCCCAAACCTAATCCAAACCTAATCCTAATACAGTCAGAATACAGTCAGACTATTTACGGATAAGACAGAATCCAATCATATCTAATCAAATCTAATCATATCATATCTAATATTCTAACAATATTCAAGCATTGAGAAAGGTTTCAAGGCAAGAATACTTTAAGAAAAGGGAGGAAAAAAAATTAGAAGAACTCAGAGACGATATAGAAGATGAGCAATATCTATTTGGAGGTGTGAAGCTTTCAGAAGCAGAATATAGAGCACTAAGGTACAAGAAAGAGATATTTGAACTTGCGAAGCGGTCAGACGAGGCTGACAATGTGAATGAGTATAGAATTCCAGATGCTTATGATCAGGAAGGTGGTGTTAATCAAGGGAAGCGATTTTCTATGGCTATGCAGCATCACAGAGATCCAAGTGCAGAGGATAGGATGAATCCATTTTCAGAACAAGAGGCATGGGAGGAACATCAAATTGGAAAGGCAACGCTGAAGTATCTGATGACTATCAGTTTGTGTTTGAGGACCAGATTGATTTTATCAAGGCATCAGTGATGGACGGAGATAAGTTTGATTATGAAGAGATGGAAGATTCACTTGAAAAGTCCAGAGCAAAGTCAGCTTCAGATGCTCTTCAGGAGGAGAGGAAAAAGTTACCCATTTACCCTTATCGGGATGAATTGCTCCAAGCTGTTAATGATCATAAGGTACTTGTAATTGTGGGCGAAACTGGTTCTGGAAAAACTACACAGATTCCCCAATATCTTCATGAAGCTGGCTACACAAAACGTGGGATGATTGCATGTACTCAGCCACGACGTGTTGCTGCTATGAGCGTTGCTGCTCGAGTTTCTCAAGAAATGGCTGTTAAACTAGGACAGGAGGTTGGTTATTCCATTCGTTTTGAGGACTGCACATCAGAGAAGACTATACTGAAATATATGACAGATGGAATGTTACTGAGGACAGCTTGAAATATCCTTCTCACTTGACTAAGTATCTGCAAAAAAAATCCTACCAAACGCCCCCTTAGTGATATGTGAAATCTAAGTATTATTTGAGACTTTGAGTCATGGGAGGGGTTGCAGATTGTATCATCAATAACCTTTTCTTTCTTGATCAAATGTCTCACTGGAACTGCTTATAGGGGTGTTGGGGTCACTGCAATCTCCCACTCTATCTGATTGGAAAGAGACAGAAGAATTTAGGTCCCTAGTTTTACCATTGGGTGATTCTGAACATCCTGATTGAAGCAGATAACATTTTTTCTTCTTATTACTATTAACATGGATGCCTCCAATACTTAATGTCAAATCCACTTTCATGTCTTCATCAGAACCATCACTGTTTATTTTACAACTCTGAAATGCAGTATAGGAGCTAGGTCCTGCTTCACCTTCATCACAGCCATGTGTTTCAAGGTCAAAACCCCTTTGCTTTTTTATGGTCTCTCCAGAACAGCTTCCACTCCTTTCCTTTGAGCATAGAATATCCTCTTTCAAACTTTGAACATGGAAATCAGGCCCATATGGAATTTGTGGTGTTTGCTGATGTTGTGGAATGAAATGAGGGTGACTTATACCTAAGCTGTTCATGGGGGTCAAAAAAATTTCTTTTGCACACTGTATACCCGGTGTAGTTCCCTTACCTATAAATTACAAAATACTCATAATTGCCAAATAGTAACAGCTTTATATTCTTGCATACTATAATGTCATTTCTCATACAGCAAATAAAAAATATCATTGGGATATGGTAAGAGATTTCAACAAGATTGACAAAAATAATTTTACATACGGTGGTTGCTAGGAATTGGAAACAAATAATAAATAAAAGCTTATAGAATGATTAAAATATGGCCATGGATACAGATGTCACGGAATGAAGGACATCTTACACTGATTCTGACATCAGTATATATGGTTAGTGTCAAAGTACAATGATTGCAAATTACTAGCAAATTTAATAAGGCTTGAATTCACAACTAAAGAAGCGAATAAGACCTTTGATCCACCTTATGACTATGATTTTTTTTTTTTCGTTCAGTGTAGGATTTATGTTGCAAATTGAATTTTGTATTTTGAAGATGAGAAGATAAAGCATGCAACAACATGATTATTACCTGGTTTTTGAAGATGTCTTCATGCATCTGCATTGTCTTTTTGATGGATTCTAAATTGTTTCTATCAAGATTTCACATATTTCAAGGTTGTCCCTCAGTAACATTCCATCTGTCATATATTTCAGTATAGTCTTCTCTGATGTGCAGTCCTCAAAACGAATGGAATAACCAACCTCGTGTCCTAGTTTAACAGCCATTTCTTGAGAAACTCGAGCAGCAACGCTCATAGCAGCAACACGTCGTGGCTGAGTACATGCAATCATCCCACGTTTTGTGTAGCCAGCTTCATGAAGATATTGGGGAATCTGTGTAGTTTTTCCAGAACCAGTTTCGCCCACAATTACAAGTACCTTATGATCAGGTCAAGCATTAGATGATGCAATGGAAGTTGACTTGGAATCTTGATTGATTCAAGTGTAGGTGAGTTTCCAACTTTATGAAATTGGTGTGTTGGATTGCCTATGTTGATGTGAATATAAATATATTCATTTGATGCAATTGATTGATTGCAAATCACCTTGTCGATAGGTAGTTAATCTAGCAAAGGGTGATTGTTGGTGCTTTGGAATAAAGCTTCTTGTGTGATTTCTTTGGTGTGGAGAAATCAACTTGGTTGAAAGCTTTACAAGTAACCTTTCGGATCTTGGATTTATCCTTTTATTATTCCACCAAACCCTAAAAGTTAGGGTTTTGGTTTATGTGGTTGTGTGGATGCAATAAATTGTTATATAATGCATGATGTGTTTTCTGCATAAGATGGTTTCCTTATGCTTTGTGTAAGAGAGTTTCCTTACACAGGTATGTTGCAAGATGGTTTCTTTGCATAATTCATACACAATGTTGCATGAGTGGGTAATGCACGTACACTGGTATGTGTAGGGGTGATAAACGAGCCAGGGGTCTTTCAGGGGCCTTTGGCTCGGCTCGTGAAGGCCTGAGCTTACATGCCTAATATTGGTTGTTAGAATCAGGCTTGGACTTGTATAAAAGCTCGTTTAGTAAAAAGATCTCAGGCTCCAATTCAAAAGCTCGGCCTTGGAGCCTCTCAGGCTGGCCTAGTATATTAATTTTTATTTTTATTTATATTTTTTATACTATTTGTAATAACCCTCTCTCTTCTCTCAATCCATTTCACCCCTATTTTATTAGTTAAACAGACTTTTTGAATGATTTTGTTCTATATTATGTTGTTTGGATGTACATTGAATTTATGAATATTTATGGAATTACTAGTGTTGTTGATTGTATATTCTGTTTGGATAAATTTTTATTGTCTTATTTTTTTTAACAGACTAACAGGCTAAATCGGGCTTTTATTTTTTGTAAATAAGGCAGGCCACAGGCTGATAATTATATTCATAACAGGTAATAGGCTTGGTAAGGCCGACATATTTAAACACAGGCTTAGCCTTTTAAGACCAAAGCTCAGCTCGGCTCGGCCCGTTAACACTCCTAGATATGTGTTAACGTCATGGTACAATATTGAATATGTGCCCCTTATATGGATAATTATATGGATAAACAATTACAACACAAATACATTATTTTAAGGAAAAAAATTATTATTAAAAAAAATTATTTTATTGTAAAATATTTGTGGATGACATTGCACATACTCCATAATTTGTATGACTCATTGTTTTCTCGTAACTTTTGATGTTCCATGTATCCACCACATGACAACACTAATATTGTGTTGAAATGCAATATTCACCTATTGATATTTAGATAAAGACTTGACTTCTATGTAAAATGAGGTGATAATGAGAATCAGAATTATACTCTTCTTCCCTCTAATTTATCTTCTTTCTCTCACTTTGTCATGTAACGCAATTTTTCTTCATCTTATATCTTGTTACATTTTTTGTTCTTAACATTTTCCTTTTATCGCATATATTTCTCAAGGCAGATTTCATGTCTAATTTTCATATTATCTGAGAAAATCTCACTCATATTAATTTTTAATAACAAATCAAAAGTTAACAATTAAAACAATTTTTTTTTCTCTGTTTGTTTATGCACGTAATTCCGTGATGAAATGGTATTGATTTTATTTCTTTTACCTCAATAACTTTAAATTGTGTAACCACAAATTACAAACAGATGATATCTTCTTAGATGAGACAAATGGAGGTTTATGTTCCATTATTTATTAATTTTGGTATCTTGTTACATTATTTATAGATAGAGTGTGCAAAATACTCAAAAAAATCTGAACTATATTAAGAACCAACCCAAATTGAACCCAAAAAAATTGGTTTTTCAAACCAGTTCATGAACATGAACTCATTTTCATTTTTTAAAATAATTCAATTATGAACCAATTCTGAACCTTTTTGTAACCTGTTCGACCTGAACCATTTACACATAAATGTTCTTTTACATGCTTCTATCAATTCTGTGTTGGAAGATGTTATCAAGTATGTGAAACAACTAAAAGAGCGCAAGCAATCAAAGGAAAAAGTTGGATCGTTTAAGAGATCTATTCTCTTCGCCAACGATGAAAATTCTGAAAGCCATTGCAACCAGCCACGCTTTGACATGGAAGTAATAGTTTATGGTAAAGACGCACTCATCAGAATTCACTCTGACAAACAAAGTTGGCGTGCTACTACCATTCTGAGCAAATTAGATAGGCATAATCGGTTCAAATCGAACTGAGCGGTTTCGAACCGATTTCAAACCAGTTCAGGTGAAAAAAAAAAAAGATTCAGTTTTCCGAACTTTTACAGCATGTTTGGTATCTGGAAAATTTTGCAATTCTCGGGAAACCTTGATTGGAGAAGTAACAACTCCATGTTTGCTACCAAAAGTTTTCATCGTTTCCGGAACGAATATATTTCCTGGCAATGCCTTTTATGTACAAAATTTTGTACGGTCAAGAGCTGAATAATTCCATAGATTAAATGGACTTTTTTGGTACCGGGGAAAGTTTCAAATTAATGCAAAAAATGTGACAAAATTAACCTTACTTTTGGTATGGTACGATCTGTCTGAAAATATTTTTGAATTAAAAGATAAATGTGAGGTTATTTTGGTAAAATAACATCACATTCCCACTAATAATTCATAACCAACCAAGCACATACTCAGTGAAATAACCTTTATTTTTTCTGAGAAAATATAGCTCTATCAAACAGCTTTTTAGTAATATTCTAGTAAAATATATTTTTCGCTACATTTCGGTAATAATTATTTCCTAGATAAAAAAAAATTTCTCCTCTACCAAACGTCCTCTCACGGAGTGCGGATATGCAAAATATTTAGTTCAATTCGACCCATGTCCATCCCTATTTACAACCCTTATGGACTTTGGGCCTTTATTTTGGGTTGAGTTTGGGAATTTGGGTAGTCAAGAATGCATGCTCTCAGCTAGTAAACTATGCAAGAATTTAACATGGGTTGTTCATGTAGCATGCAATCATTCTAAGATGATTCATAAAAAAATATCCTGATCAATATTATAAAAGTTATATTTAAGTACATCATAAGGGCACTACGCCAATAAACAAAAAAAAAAAAAAAACAAAGATTCAATAAATCATAAAACTAGAACATAAAGAATAAAGATATCTCACTCCTAATTATATTATCTGATGTGTAATGATCATCATCATAACCAAAAACATCCCAAAACTATTGCCTTTCTCAAGTGCCAAAAACTTGTTAGCACCACTAGCAGGGCACGTGTACTTACAATGACAATAACCAGAGACTGGAACAACTCCTGCGTTATAACAAAATCCATCAACTGCTTGGTTTTGGTACTTGGCAACACAATCAGATTTACACTGGCTATCATTGCAGTTTTCCATTGCAGTCAAAACTACTTCACATACTCCGTACCTTTTTGGTTTGCATTCATAGAAACAATAACAATTTGTCTGGGCACTACCATTATTGGATGAGCAAATTCCCTGACCATTCGGTCGGTTGATAGAGCAACTCGTGTTACAATCACCTTGGCAAACCCCAAAATCATCCCTGCATATGTCACCAGCCACCATAACCATAAGGGCACCTATGATAACAATGATGCAACATACCATAAGTTAACACAATTTATTTATACAAGTTAGTCATTGTGTCTATATATTCATGCACAATATTATGAATATAACCTATAAGCTCTATACGTAAATGATAATGTGTGTAAGACCTGATGTAAACAAGAGGAGAAGAGTGACATATGCTGAGCAGAGCTTGGCCATGTTTGTTGCTGATTACTTTGGTTACAATATGATCCCTCTAAACAAAATTTGATGGGATGGTTTCTTTTATAACATACAAATGCGTTTAAAATAGGAAATTTTTGGGATTTGATTGATAAATAAAATATGTTTATTCAAAAAGAATTGATTTGATGCTACAATTACGATGTTGATTATATATACATACAAATGACTAGAAATATTATATGATTGGATTTAAAATTTTCTAAATATAGAAACTGAATGTATATTACATATTATTGTTTCTTTTGTTTTTCAGCTGACAATATAATCAATTCAGTTTCGTATTTTTAATAATTTTAAACAAACTTGAATCCATATTCTTGTATTTTACTAAATAGTTTATATTTTTAGAACTGAAATTTGCTAAATAGAAAAATTGAATAGTAAAACTTTAATAAAAAAAATAAAAACTTTTATGTTATTGTGAGTGAGTGTAGAGTCATTAAAAAAAATGAAATTAATTGATTGATTTGATTTAATAATTTCTACATTTAGACTTCATTAAAATAATATGATTTGAATTAATTTTTAAATTAACTTTTATGTTTAGAACTCATCAAATCCAATCATATCATGTTTGAATATATTTCCAATGAATACGATTAAAATTATAATGATATCATCAAGGGATAAAAAACAAAATATATCCGAATATATAATGGAGTAAGTCCTTAGTAATAATTTCATATGGAATTGATTTAAGAATTAAATTCCAAATTACTCGAAATAACACAGTAATATAAATTAAAATTTTAAATTTGACACACTGATTTGGGTCCAAATCGATTCTGAATTAAATCGGTTCCAAATTATTTAAAAGAAAAAGGTAAAATCAGCACAAAAATTGAATCCAATCATGCACGTCAAACAAAGGAAAAAGTTAAAAAAAATCTTTTAATTTACTTGTATACTTTAATCGTTAAACTTTTAAAAAATTCATATGCATTTAATTTTTAATTGTGTGCGTTGAAATCAAAAATCATAATTTGAACGTAAATTTGGATGGAAATATGGAATGATCTGTATGTGAGGACATTTGATTGAATTTTTTTAAAAACTTGCATCTGATTTGCATTCTACTCCGTGAATTACGAGTTATGCATACTTTGA